TCATGGGGATATACTGGGAATATAATGGGAATACAATGGGAATATGATGGGAATATAATGGGAATATAATGGGGATATATCATGATATAGTGACAGTGAAAAATCTTCAACACGGAGATATTTCATGATTTAACGATCAGGATCCTATGATCTGATTTGATGGAACATGGAGAAATTGATCATAGCTTCGAAGTTAAGAGTTTAATGGAAACAAAGTGCAACTCATGGATTTGAATGGGATTCATGTTGGGAATATGGCTTGGATTTTATGGAACAAGCATGAGGGGATTTGCCACCAAGTAATGGGAATAGCATTAGAAACTATTACTGGAACATAGCCGAAATATTCGGGATGTAAGACTTAGGGATATCTTGGATATCGGGAAATATGAACTACTTGGATGACAATGGGACAATTTGTATGCAACCATGAATATATATATATATATACATATATATATATATACACATATATTTACATACATATACATATATATATACACATATAAATATATATACATATTACCAACAACAGGAGATTATGTTTCGGCGCTTCTGACAATGGGGAATAGCCTATTTTGGTGCCATTTCAATGCAAGATATATTCATTGGAGTTTGGGGGCTACAGTACCCTATTTTGGACGGACACATATGGGATTCTACAAGATTTCACGCAAAGTTTTGCTGATGGGTATCTAGACCACAAAAATATGGTATTCGCTGGGCGAACGGAATTGTGAATTATGGTAATAAGTTGATGATTTCAGTATCTTTTACCCTCTTGTATCCAAGTTTGGCCATCTTCATTGAGTGTCTCGTGGCGGTGTAAAGCAGCCATGGGGATATTCCTTAGGGTGTAAACTACCCAAATGGGTACTAAACACAATACCATGATGAATCTTGGATACTTTACACAAATATTGGGGATTAGATCTTACATAGATGGGATCTCATGTGAAAAAATGAGCAGTCAACCAGTCAACCATCAAGAAACGTCATGTTTTTTGGGCACGGTATGAATGACTGAATGATATGAAGCCACAACAAAAATACTAAGCTTTAGTTTACTCAGTCAACACTTCACAGGCAAACTCCTGAGCTCAAAGTACCAGAGGGTTTCTAGAATGCTGACTTCTCTCGGGCTGCTTGCGGCATGTATTTACGGTGTGTTTTTCATTACACAAGCATCATGCATCCCCGAAATAGAACAGACATGGTGATTTTTATCGGGGACATCAACCTCCAAAACCATCTGCTTAGCGGTGAAACCAACCCATCCCCAAAAGATGAGTTGCTTCGAATCATCATTCCAGCTCCGATGGAAAATAAACCGTATTTGAAAACACAAACCAACCAAGCATATCTGGCTGACCCCAAACTCCAGGCATCTCATCATATTTTTCCTATGAAACAAATTGCCATATCTTGGTGGTTCCAAGCGTAATTTCGTAGGCTCGGTTCATCTCAGTGGAGCAAAGATTCACCAACTTTTTTTGGATCAACGAAGACCAAAGGAAAACTTTGCAAAGCCCCATAGTTGATAAACATACATAATTGGTTTGTGGCTTGGAACATTTTTTATTTTTCCATATATTGGGAATAATAATCCCAACTGACTGATATTTTTCAGAGGGGTTGAGACCACCAACCAGATAAAGATGCTAACTGTTTTCCAGTGAAACCAGTGGTCAACCATTCTCCCAACTTAAAACCAACCCAAATTTATTGGGGAAAATGAGGTATCCGCCATTTCTTACCGCAGTTTCAATGGGTTTCCCAACGATTTGTCCATCCTCCATGTCCCGCAGGACACGCTGCAGTGCTGGGCGTTGCAGATAAGGTGCCTGCGCAAACCACTTGGTAAATCGGCAAAAAATATCCTGTTAGATATGGAAGATCCCCACTTCTCTATGAGATTATATGGGATATATAGGGATTATAATAAACCGCAGAAACTAAGTGGGATGCACTCCCAAGTATGGTTGTATTGTAAGAAAATGTGGGAGATGGCCAATCACCAAACTTACTTAAGTCGGGTGTACTTTTCGGGTTATGAAAATGGCTACAACCGCGTTTCTGTTGGGATATAACCGTGCTGCATCCGTAGGTGTCCCAAGTTCCCAGTGGCTGGTGAACTGAGATTCCTTGGTCCATGGATCCAGGAAAATTTGTGAAATCTCTGAATACTAAATGCTGCGTTAGATGCGGAACTGTCACAGCTCATCACAATTCTGGGTAAATGATGGAAGAGTAGTATACCAAACTGGCTCCTCTAGGCCGCATCATGAAATTTGTATGCCCTTTTCGGGAGCGGTGTTTAGTTTCAGCCAGTTCTGAGTCAACCACAAGCTAGATCAGGATTGGCCATGTTTTAGGTGGAGTCGTGATGTAAATTGATAGACCCACTGTTCTTGGTGGATATTCCTACATCTTGCTGTAGCTAACACCCACCTCATAGTTGTTTAGCAGTTTGATCAACCATTACGTGATCAGAACGTCCAGTTTAAAATGTGAAAGGCTAACTTGCTCGTCGTCAGTATCCGGGATGCACTAGTCTTGGGATGCCCCTTTAACTGCCATATTTCATGGTGAGTGGTGGTCATACTACTTTGCAATGAAAACCTTGGTGTCTCACATACGCCTAAGTATCAGTCCCCAAGTATAATTGGTTGACTTGTCCCTGATTATTTATGTGGTACTCTACATGTCCCTGAGTAGGGGATGAAACCACATATTTGGGATCACTTATGAGGGGATAGTATTAGGGGGATGGGATTATATCCCATTATATCCCCATTATAAAGTAATATATATATTATATTATATATATTATATATATTATATATTTTATATATATTATATATTATATATAGTATATATATTATATATTATATATTATATATATTATATATATTATATATATTATATATATTATATATATTATATATATTATATATATTATATATATTATATATATTATATATTAAATATATTATATATATTATATATTATATATATTATATATATTATATATATTATATATTATATATATTATATATTTTATATTATATATATATCAAATATAATATATATATTATATATATTATATATATTGTATATATTATATATATTATATATATTATATATAATATATATTATATATATAATATATTATATATAATATATTATATATATATATATATTGCATATAATATATTATATATATAATATTATATATATATTATTATAAATAATATTGTATATATATATATTATATATATGATTATAAATAATATTGTATATATATATATATTATATATATAATATATATAATATATATAATATATATAATATATATAATATATATAATATATATAATATATATAATATATATAATATACATAATATATATAATATATATAATATATATAATATATATATTATATATTATATATATTATATATTATATAATATATATATTATATATATTATATATATTATATATATATTATATATATATTATGTATATTATATATATTATATATATTATATATATTAGATATATTATATATATTATATATATTATATATATTATATATATTATATATATATTATATATTATATATATTATATATATTATACATATTATATATATTATATATATTATATATATTATATATTATCTATATATATTATATTAATATATATTATATATGTTATATATCTTATATATCTAATATATCTTATATATATATATTATATCCCATTGTACCACCATTGTTTTTACTTAAATCACCATTTCTAACCATTGTTTCTTGTTTAATTCACAATTTGTTGATCTGAAGCGATTTTCTCCTCAAATCCTCGGCGCCAGGTCGTGGCGGCCATCAAGAGCGGCGCTTTGAAACACGTCTTCGTCATCGGAGGCGTTCAACGCGCGGGGTGAAAATTGGGTCCATAAATTTCTGGGTAAATTATAACGACCTCACTGCGACCTCACTGGAAATCATAGTTAGTAAGGGGAATTATCCCAAAATGGCCTTATTTCAGGTTAGTGAATTATTATAATTAACCATGATAAATTTGGGTACGCCTTTATCGTTGGATGGTTTATAAGGGGAAATCCATTTTTAAATGGATGATAACTAGGGGTACCCCCATTATGGAAACCCCCAATTGGAAAGATATGATGGGAATGATGGGATACAAAGTTGCTTTCAGTGGATATTACAAGTTAGACAACGGCGATTGTTCATTCACTCTGTTTCGCTTCTGGGTCCAAATCGTGAAATATAGAAAGACACCATCCGTCGTTTCTTTAATGAAAAATGCTAAAAATCAGGACGCAGGAATGGGATATTCTAATTGGATACTGCCTAAAGTTGCCCTCAGCGGGTCTTTCTCAAAGCTGGGACGGCCCACATTTAAAGAGGGAATTGATGAAAAACGCCAGGGCCCTACAGGAGAAGATACGAAGAAAAAATCAAGGTACATGTTTAGACGGTCATGTGGTTTGCCAAATGGGTGTGTCTCAAAACTTGGAACCCTGTTCCATGATTGGTTTGAGATGCATTTTTCTGATTGAAATTTTGTAAAATTGACATCCCTAACTTTGAGACAAACCTATTTGGTTTCTAAAAGTTGAGGATCTACTGCAGGAAACCTGGATGGAGGGAATATTATCTCCCAGATTTGAATTTAGTTCGTGCTGGAATTTTTGAGGGACAACCCCAACATATTTGGGGAAAAGGAATTTGTTGCATTGGGGATTGTAGCGTGTCTAAAGCCCTACTTGGGGTTTGTCTAAAAATAGGGCACCACCAAAATCCCATGGTTTTTCATCATTGATCCCATGAAAAATGACTACTTTATGCGTATACGCATGTATACGCCATGTTCCGACACATAGGTTTTGGGGTGATGTTCTGTGAAGAAAAGTGGTCATATCCAAGGTGACATCAATTAAGACTGGAGGGAACCTCGAGCGCCTAAAAAAGTGT